GCTGGTGGCCTGGAAGGAGCGGAGGAAGTTGGCCCCAGTGCTAGAGCCCCTGCCGCCCAAGTGGGAGACAGATGGTGTTCCTGGCTTCTACTTGGGACGGAAGCCTCCATCTGTCCCTGTTACTCTCTCTCTTTCAAAAAGAAAAACTTAGCTAAACAGCTAAGCTAATTTTATTTTATTTTAATTTTTATTTTTATGATACAATTGCATAGGCTGTGCCCTTGGCCCCTTCCCCCCACTGGTTTATTTAACAACAGTGTAGTCCTTCATAAGTCCGTCATGAACTGATTTTAATACCCAGAATCAGTTCACATGATTTGATTTGTCTAGTCTTTCATATTTGATATAAAACATTTTTTAAAAGGTTTGTTTATTTTTATTGGGAAAGCAGATTGACAGAGGTCAGAGACAGAAGGATCTTCCATCTGCTGGTTCCCTCCCCAGATGGCCGCAGCGGCTGGAGCTGAGCTGATCTGAAGCCAGGAGCCAGGAGCTTCTTCCAGGTCTCCCACGCGGGTGCAGGGGCCTGAGGACTTGAGCCATCAATTTGTACTGCTTTTGCAGGCCGCAAGCAGCGAGCTGGCTGAGAAGAGGAGGAGCTGGGCACGAGCTGGGATCCTGTTCTTGCGGGTAGATTAGCTAGTTGAGTCATCATGCCTGCGCTGCTACAGTGTAGTTTTAAAGTGAAGCTGTATGTTTTTGTGATGTAATGTGGATTAGAAATTTGTCATTTGATTTTCTAATATATGCTCATTTCTTGGGACAAATTATCAGTTACTCTCTTGGTAGAAGTGTCAAATTGATAGGAAAGTAAACTTATGATACACAAATGAGATTATAATTAACCGAAGGAAATAATTTAAATAATATATATGAGGAACTTTATGAAGCTCATGGAAAATGGGTATTATGAAAAAAAGGCATTGTGAAAGTTTTGTATATGAAGATTATCTTTTAATTCATTTTCCTCAAACTTTTTTGAGTAGCTACATAGAATGGGACCTTAATTAGCAATTATGTAAGTAAAGAGAGTTTTCAAAGAGTTGATATAGTAATTTTAAATGGTAGCATTTTTATCTCATGCCTTACCAATAAAATGAAAGTAAAAAAAGAAAAAAAATATATCTGGTTAAGTACCCGGGAGCCTGACAGTTTTTGCTCATGGACGTACAAGCCTACACATGGACATGACCTTGTAGCTTCATTCTTCGTGAATCTCAGTGAGTGTGGGTGTCCGAACCCATCAGATGGGAAACTGGCCCCCGTGGCCTTGGAAGGTTTCTTCCTTCTCTATTTAAAAGAAAGAAAAAAAAGATTTTAAAAACTATTCCAACTTTGAGTTGGCATAGCTTGTTAACACAGTTAGTAGACAACTCAGATTTAATGTGCTACAGTTTATGAACGGCGCGGAGGGGATTCTGACGCTGATACTCAGCGCTGAGGCACAGACGGAGCCTTTGGCATGTCTGTGTGTCCGTCTGTTCCTGGGGCCCTGTGCCCATTTTTATCGTGTCTGCCAATGGCAGTGAGGCGTGTGTGCCCGCTAGGATGAATGCTTGGACGCTGTTCTGTAATACTGATTAATTTGAGCTGATGAATGTACATGAGATAATGTTAACCAAAAACAGTCAGAATAATGTCAGACAAAATAAAACTTATTTTGACTTCTGCAGGAGGGTATCACAGATGTTTCAGACTACCGTTAAAAATGGTTAGAGTCTGTGGGCACCGTGGGTCTGGTGGTCAGTTTCCTTTTCGTAAAAGTTTTGAACTTAACCCGAGATAGATGAGGAAGGAGGTAGAGTGACGCTTTAGGCAGTGGGTTTTGTATTTGTTACAGGGTGTGAACTTTTTGTTTGTTGAAACAATTTTTGTTATTATTATTGTTTTAAAGATTTATTTATTTTTATTGGAAAGGCAAATTTATAGAGAGAAGAAGATACAGAGAGAAAGATCTCCCGTGTGCTGGTTCACTCCCCCAGTGCCCATAACCGCTGGAGCTGAGCTGATTGGAAGCCAGGAGCCAGGAGCCTCTTCCAGGTCTCCCATGTGGGTGCAGGGTCCCAAGGCTTTGGTCTGTCCTCGACTGCTTTCCCAGGCCACAGGCAGGGATGGGATGGGGGGGCTACCGGGATTAGAACCTGCGCCCATATGGGATCCTGGCACATTCAAGGCGAGGACTCCAGCCACTAGGCTACCATGCCAGGCCCAGTTTGTGTTGCTTTTAAAAGCAGTGGAAAGCTTTAATGAATTGTGATTTTAGATTTATTAAAGAAAAGAAGGGTAATTATATTGTATCTGTGCCTTAACATCACTCAGGTTCTCATGTGTAGTAGAAGTCTGCTTTCTGTCTGTGGTTGCTACTTTATTCCGGTGCTAAAGTGAGAATGACATTCGATGGTGAGAATTAGATTTATTTTAACCTTTCAGTTTTACACAATTCTCTGATCCTTGAAACTTAAAATGGGCACATTTTGAACATGAAAGTTATACCATTCAACACCACAAGATGTCACTTATGTAAAAATAAAGTTAGTGCTCGCACGCTGAGAGCTTGGAAGCTGGAGGTAGTTAGATAAGGAACACGCATTTCTAAATACCTTAAAATGTACATTCTGTATTTGAAACAGGTTTTAGTTTTCAATAAAAGTCAACGAAAGGATTGCTGATTAGTGTTTTTTGAATAGAGTATTTTGATGTTTAGCCAAAGGAATTTCTTCTGAGATTTATGTAATAATTCATGTTAATCCAAGTAATGGCTCCGAAGAAGTGGAATGTATCTTTAGGGGAGGTGATAGTGAGTGAACTCTGCCGAAGTCTCACTCTTTTGGTAATAAGCAAAGAGGAATTTGGGGAGAAATACATAACTTTATCACAGTTTCCAGTAGGTTTATGACAGCTGTGTGCTGGTTGGGGCGGCCCCGTCTGGTACCCCAGCACCTGAGCTTGGTGCCTGGCTCTCTGTGATGCTGCTGCCGCAGATCCCGGCGCAGGAGGGGAGGGCCCCATGGTGGGCTCCTGCTGCTCACGGGGGGGGGGGTCGTCTGGTTGAGCTCTCCGCTCCAGGATCCAGTCCCTTCAACACTGGACACTGGGCAGCAAGTCAGCAGACAGATAGCTTTTTCTTTATGTAGGCAAACACAACAAAACAAAAAAACCAAAATCAACAACAACAACCCATACACCAGAAACGGTTCTGCCATGTTGAAGGAGAAGTGGTAAGAGGCAGCAATTACATTTTCTTTACCTGGTGGTAGTGGGATTTGTGAATTTATAGCAAGAAGAGGCTTCACTTCGAAGAATAGGTGCAGGTGGACCATGAGTAGAAGAAACTGAAAGTAGCTCTCCCTTTTTCTCATTGTTTGCAACTGGTGTGAGTGAAGACAATGGTAACATTTATTGTAGGTCATCTTTTAGGCTAGTTGTAGAGCACAAGGCCTCGCCTTCCTGTGTGCGCAAGGGTCTTACCAGGGGGAGTCATCACCTCGTTGGACAGTTGGACCGTGGAAGTGCGGCTAAGTTGTGTCTTTATTGTGTGCCCTATTGCATTCTTGGTTTTTTTAAGGTGTATTTTTTTTTATTTTGAAAAGCAGAGGTAAGTACGTACGTGTACACACACACACACACACACACACACACACACACACACACACACACACACACACACACACACACACACACACACACACACACACTGTCCATCCTCTGATTCACTCCTGAAAGTGCTGCAATGGCCAGGTTTGGGTCCAGGCAAGACCAGGGGCTTGGAGCTACGAGCTCCTCGCAGATCTCCCATGTGGGTCCAGGGGCCCAAGTGCGTGGACCGTCCCTTGCTGCTTTCCCGGGGCATTAGCAGGGAGCTGGAGTGGAAGTGGAGCAGCTGGCACACGAGGCGCCCGTGTGGGATGTCAGTGTCACAGGTGGCAGGTTTCCCGCCTGTGCTGCAGTGTGAGCTCTTCGCGTCTCCTTAGTATCCGGTCGTGTGGAACCTCCGCAGTTTCTTTTCTTCCTTCTCCTTTTTTTTTTTTAACTATTAACTTAATTGATTGAAATAAAGCATTTATTTAAAGAAAATGGAGGGAGAGAGAAAGAGATCTTCCATCTGCTGATTCACTCCCCGAATGAGTGTGTTAACCAGGGAAGATCCAGGAGCCAGGGATGGTCTTCCAGAGGGATAGAAGGGCCACGAATTCGGGCCATCTTCTGCTGCTTTCCCAGGTACAATAGGGGCGTTGAATCGTAAGTGGAGCATTTGGGACTGGTGCCCACATGAGAAGCTGGTGTTACTGGCAGAAGTCACATCGTCAGCCACCAGTGTAGTGCTTCAATATTTGTAAGTAAGGATGAAAAAGATTAATTTAGTGAATGAAATATGAAATGCCTAATGACAGGGGAATTTTAAAAAAATTTATTTGTTTTTATTGGAAAGTCAGATATACAGGAAGAGAGACAGAGAGAGAATCTTCCGTTTGATGATTAACTCCCAAGTGGTGGCAATGGCCAGAGGTGAGCCGATCCAAAGCCAGGAGCCAGGAGCCTCTTCTGGGTGTCCCATGTGCGTGCAGGGTCTCAAGGTTTTGGGAGTCCTCGACTGCTTTCCCAGGCCACAAACAAGGAGCTGGATGGGAAGTGGGGCAGCTGGGATACGAACTGGTGCCCATGTGGGATCCTGGCTCATGCAAGGTGAGGACTTTGGCCACTAGGCTACTGTGCCAGGTCTCAGGAAAAATGTTTTGAGAAATGTGTCATTATGTGATTCAATTGTATGAGCATCATATGAACTAGTAAAGCTGTGACATCACCTGGCAAGGCAATGCCATGGAATTCCTGTCATCTGTGTAGTCTGTCGTTGGCTGAAATGTAATGTGGTACATGATTGTAAACCAGAATACAGGTACTTCATATTCTCCTAGTATTTCTAATTCTTATAAAAATGATATAGCTTAACAGCTGTTTAGTGTAAAAATACAAGTAAGGAATTTTTTTCTCCTTTGTGGTAGGAATGAAGATCTAAAACAAATGTTGGAGAGCAACAAAGATTCTGCTAAATTGGATGCTATGAAGCGAATTGTTGGGGTAGGTATAATAGTAGATTACTTGGATTTTTGGAAAATGGATAATGAGTATATTAATGAAAATTCATAATATTTTAAACACCAAATTAAAATCTCATTTGCTTTTTAATATTAACTCAAAATTTCCTTTCTAAAAATGTTAAAAGACCATTATAACATCAAAAAAATAAAAAAGATTGAGTTATAATTGTATCTTTTTGTGTCCTGATTACAAGATATTTCTCCTGTGAAATATGAAGGCTTAATTATTTTGAGGACATTTAAGATAATGTTTATTAATTATTTTTAAAACATTTATCTTTAATATTGTTTACAGTATTGAGAGGGATGCACATCCATGTGGGTCTCCAGTTAGTGTGGGCAGGGCTGAGGCGTGGAAGAAGGCGTGCAGGGCTGAGGCGTGGAAGAAGGCGGGTAGGGCTGAGGTGTGGAAGAAGGCGGGCAGGGCTGAGGCGTGGAAGAAGGCGGGCAGGGCTGAGGTGTGGAAGAGGGCTTTTGCTTGACCTGTTCAAGTTTTAGCTCTGACTGTCAGGTTTACTCTGTCTGTCTGTATCTGTGCCTGCCTGCCTCTTTGTCACATGGTAATTCCTGGAGAATAAATCACTAAAGATACAGGCAAACAGTTACTATTAAGTAAAAATTTGAACTACTGATTTCCAAAGAAGAGGGCAAAGGGAAGATAGAAAAATCTAACCATATGAGCTACTACATTAAGTGTAAGTGGTGTATTGTGTCAGATGGAATGAAATTGTCAAGGTGTAACTGCCATGTTGTCTAGAGTAAGCCTGTTAGTACAAATACATAGGTCCTTTTTTTCAAGATTTATTTATTTTTATTGCAAAGTCAGATGTACAGAGAGGAGGAGAGGAGGAGAGACAGAGAGGAAGATCTGTCCGATGATTTACTCCCCAAGTGGCCGCAATGGCCAGAGCTACACCAATCCGAAGCCAGGAGTCAGGAGCTCATCCAGGTCGGTCTCCCAAGCAGGAGCAGGATCTCAAGGCTTTGGGCCGTCCTCTACTGCTTTCCCAGGCCACAGGCAGGGAGCTGGATGGGAAGCAGGTCAGCTGGCATTAGAACTGCAGTCCATATGGGATCCCAGTGTGTTCAAGGTGAGGACATTAACAGCTACGCTATTGTGCTGGACCCAAATACAATATTTTTGACAATCCTTACATAGTTAATTAGGGTAAAAAGGTTCAAGGACTATAGGAAAGTGGGTAAGACTATTATTTCCATATTGTTTCCTTCATGTATCTGAGGTAAAGGGGGATATTGAGGGAGAAGGCCCATCGAGTTTCCCACCCACCCCAGTCCCCGGATGTGGGGCATGCTCTGAGATACTTGCTCAAGTGGTTTTGATAGTTCACAGTTATGAATCACTGCCATCTTGCCAAGCACTATGAGGTCTTTGAAGAATCCACTGATTGACATAGTCCATCATAGAGTCTGTTTGCCCTGTATTTCGCTGCCAACATATAGCTGAGATGGTTGATCGACCTGTTCTGTCTTCTCTCTTGGTTAGGGTTCTGAGTCCAGCATTTTGATTGGGGAAATCTCCAAAGAAACTTTGTCTGAGGTGTTCTCAGACCAGATTCTTTTTTTTTTTTTTTTAAGATTTATTTATTTATTGGAAAGTCAGATATACAGAGAGGAGGAGGGACAGAGAGGAAGATTTTCCCTCTGATGATTCACCCCCCAAGTGAGCGCAACAGCTGATCTGAAGCCAGGATCCAGGAAATTCTTCCAGGTCTCCCACACGGGTGCAGGGTCCCAAGGCTTTGGGCCGTCCATCGCCCCAATCAGCTGGTGGTTGCGATCGCTGGGTTGGTTCTGTTTTCAGTCCCGACTTCCGCTGGAATCAATGGGAGCTGCAGCCTAGCTGGAGCGACCCACACTAACCCCCACCAGGCCCGCCCCCTACCCTGGTTTGCCAGTATGTGTAGCCGTAGTCCAGCCTGTCCCACACCACATTCTGCCCCAGCCCCTGTCCTGGTTTTCATGCCCTCCCGTGGAAGTGGTAACCCAAGAGGGAGGAGCCCACTATTTCCCTCCCAGGCCTCTCCCACTTCTGGATTATGCACTCTCCAGGTAGTTTTGTGGTTTGACTTATCAGAACTAGCCCCCAGTGCCAGCTTCTTCCAGCTGATGCTGTGGCTAAACCCAAACAATCCTCACCCACTCTAATTTTGTTTGCACCAGTAGGAGTAATCAGCCCAGCCTGGCTTTTCCCTGATCTAGTCCACATGAGGCGTACAGGTGTTGTAGCCCTGCTTAGTCTGGTCTGCCCCCATCCCAGCCCACGCTCTCCAGTGGGAGTAGCTGTCCAGCAAGGGAACCCACTCATATTCCCCCTGCCGGCTCTGCCCCCTCCCTTCCTTGTTCTCACGCATGCTGGTTGGGCACTGCGGTCACATCTGGTACAGGCAACCTCACCTTGGCATTCCGTATTGTGTACTGGTCTTTGTTGCAACCAAGGCCGGCTCGACCCACACTGTTCTGGTGCTTGGATTTGCCAGTGGATGACGTGAACAGATTCAGTCTGGTCTTTCCCCAACCCATGCCAGATGTGTACCCGTGGGTAACTTTCCATGGCCTGTTCTGGGCTATTTCCTATCATGTTTCTTGCACTTACCTGCCAGGTCTGTGTCCTGCCAGAGGAGTTGCCCAGGCTCCTCCATCAGAACCTCTTCCAATGCCAGATTTTGCGCTATATACCAGTGGGTCCATGAGCCAGCCCTGCTCAGTTTACCTTCTGTCCTAGCAGGAACAGTGGCTTTTCCTGACTGGCCTTCAACCCAAAACTGGTCCTTGCTGTTGGATGTTTCAGCCCATCCATGATTCGTCCATACCCACATGTGGCTCACACATGGCTCAGTAGTGGTTGAGACCTTACCTAGTCCATCACACATCTACCCTGGTCCTCCAGGACACCAGAGGGTGTTGGAGTCTGGCCTGGGCTCGGTGCATCCAATCCCAGTCCATATTTGTGCCAAGGGAGACTACAACCATTTCCTGTTCAGAACGCAGCCCCCATTCCAGGCCTCGCTCCCCTTGGTGGGAACCTCAACCCAACTAGGGCTGTCCCCTTAGCTCCCCAGCCGGGCCTGTTCCCCGCAATAGATCACGCACATGCCAGTGGTTGCTCTGACTCAGCTTGGCTCCGCCCCTCACCTGTCCCGACCTCTGCCTGAGACACTGTGGCTTAGCGTTCCTGGCTCACGCAGACCAGTATGTGCAAGAGCCTAGCTTGGCATGACCTGTGCTCCCTCCTGGTTTCTAGTTTTGCTTGTTAAATATTTTTTAAAAAGTGATTTATTCATTCACTTCAAAAAATTGCAGAGAGGAAGAGGCAAAAAAAAAAAAAAGAGAGAGAGACCTTATATGCACTGGGTTCCTACCCAAATGACCATTCACTGTTCTATGCCTGAGGGAGACTGGGGGCATAAAAGTTAATCATATTTTATATAATTTAAATTTAATTATTATAAAGGAATGGATTAAAATTAAGATTAGTTATAGGAAAAAGTTTCTTTAGTATCTAAAAGTTAAACATTGAGGAATCTCTGGATCAAAATGAGAGGGAGATGTTGAATTTGAGCTTGAAATTTGGGGTAGAGTTTTGTAGAACCGATTGTCATTTAATAGAGAGGGTAGTTGAAACCTTAGGGTTAGATTAGGAAACTGCGCATCCTGTGAGGGCGGGGTGTCCAGCCTGTGAGGGCGGGGTGTCCAGCCTGTGAGGATGGGGTGTCCTGCCTGTGAGGGCGGGGTGTCCAGCCTGTGAGGGCGGGGTGTCCAGCCTGTGAGGATGGGGTGTCCAGCCTGTGAGGGCGGGGTGTCCAGCCTGTGAGGGCGGGGTGTCCAGCCTGTGAGGATGGGGTGTCCAGCCTGTGAGGGCGGGGTGTCCAGCCTGTGAGGGCGGGGTGTCCAGTCTGTGAGGGTGGGGTGCACAGCCTGTGAGGGTGGGGTGCTCAGCCTGTGAGGGCGGGGTGTCCAGCCTGTGAGGGCGGGGTGTCCAGTCTGTGAGGGCGGGGTGCGCAGCCTGTGAGGGTGGGCACAGAAAGCGTTAGTAGAGGGACGTTTGGAAAGGAACGGTTGGAGAAGTCTGGAAGCCAGTGGAAAGAAGTCCAGGGAAAGTTTGTTCAAAGAACCCCTCAGCCTTGACGTAAATGTGGTGCAACTTCTGGATAAGAACATGGAACATAAAGAACAGCACATTTAAATGAGTGTTTACCACTCATTGTAAAAAAATTTTATTTATTTATTTTTTTTATCACCCATTTTTAAACAGACAATACTTTGCTAAAGTATGTGTGATTTATTTTCTTTGTTTGAAAGTAGGGTTACAGAGAGAGGGAGAGACAGGAAGAGATGTTTTATCCATTAGTTCGTTCCTCAGCTGTCTGCGACAGGCTGGCTCGGCTAGGTGAAGCTGGAGGCCTGGTGTTCCCCTCCAGTCTCCTCTGCGTGGCTGAGCCCACGCTTTCTGTTGCTGTCCCAGGCACGTTAGCAAGGAGCCAGAGCAGAAGCTCAGCTGGAACTTTTGAAGGCCGCGGCTTACGCTGCTGCAGCACCACGCCAGGCCCAGTAAAGATGTCTTACACTCTTTAAAGTACTTTTGTGTTTGTTCCTGCATGTGACTGTCACCAGACAGAAGTGCTTTCTTTGCATCGAGGGTTTGGATGAGATGAGTTGAGAAGAGTTCTGTTACTGACATAGCTTGCTTGTAGACATTTAGTTTATGTAGAATTTCCCGGAATATCTGTTGTTTTTAGTTTACTAACCTAAAAAAGAATTTGAATCCTAAGCTTGCACTTCTCTTCTTCAGATGATTGCCAAAGGGAAGAACGCATCGGAATTGTTCCCTGCCGTTGTGAAGAATGTGGCCAGTAAAAATATTGAGGTACTGTTTTCATGCATATTGCTTGTGATTACTTTTGTTATAAAGGAATTGTTACTTTTCAGTTACTTTGATATGCAGCATAAGATATTTATCACTATTTTTGAATCATTTAAAATATCCATAGTCTTAAATACAGATGAGCCAGAATAGTTGGCACATACGTGTATTGGGTTATTGGTGAAGAATATGAGAAGTGAGGTTGATTCCTAGGTGAATTATTGTTACTTGTTCACCCACACCTAGTTGGTGGTTGGCATCCTGGCATTGTGAGTACAGTTGTCACCTGCGGTGCTAGTATCCTGTTGGGCTCTAGTTCAAGTCCTAGCTGTTCCGCTTCCCATTCAGCCTGCTCGTGCTCCTGGGAAGGCAGCAGAACATGGACAAGTTCTTGGGGTACCTGGGTAATGTGGGAGAACAGGAGAAAACTCCTGGTTCCTGATTTTGGACTGGCCGAGTGAAACAGCAGACAGAAGATCTGTCTCTCTCTCTCTCATCTCTGCCTTTCAAATAAAAATAATCTTTAATTTATTTATTTGAAGGTCAGAGAGATATAAAGAGGGAGAAGGCATCTTCCCACCCGCTGGTTCGTTCCTGCATGGCTGCAACAGCCGGGTCTAGGCCAGGCTGAAGTCAGGAGCCAGGGTTTCCCACGTGGTCTCCCATGTGGGTGCAGGCGCCCACTTCCTGCACATTGTCAGGAACTGGTTCAGAAGTATGTGCTCTGCCAGGGGAGAATCTCCTGTCTCCTGGGCAGGCCGGCCTGGCTCTCACGGTCGTGGCCATTGATGGAACATGTCTGTCTTTCTCTGTAGCTGTGCCTTTCAAATAAATTAATACATTATTTTATTTTTATTTCTAAAAAACCTTTACTTTAAAAAAGAACAGTCTTTGCAAGAAGAAAATAATAAAATAAATAAATTTAAAAAAAAATAAAAAAGGACAGTCTTCCATGAACTGAAATAATGCAGTTCAGAACAAAAATTCTGTCCTTACCCACCTATGCGTATCTTCATTATGGAAAAAGTCTGGTTAATTTATAGAATTTTGTCAATTTAAAGTTATTTTTTTTACCCTGTAGAATTTAAAATGTGGTACTGCTACCACTGTTTTCCATTTTGGCGACAGATGAGAAAACAAAGGAATAAAAAGTACTGCTCTGATCCTCCCTGTAAAGCCAATTCCCATTGATCCTCTGCCTGGGAAAGACAGACCGAGGACCCAGCAGTCAGCACCCGAACCTTTGGTGTAGTCGCTAAGGGTCCATGTCCAAAGCCCCGTGGTGAGCTGGATTATCCGAGGAGGTGTGACCTCAGGCTGCTGACATTGGCCATCTGCCCAGGACGTGTGCTCGCTCAGAGGAGCGGATACTGCCCAGTAGCAACCCGCTTCCTTGAGGCAGAATTTGCTTACGTGAAGGATACCTGGAACACACAGTTTATTAAAACTGTGCATGCAACTTAATATAACACTGCTATCTCAAGAGACTAAATTGATTGTACAGTCAATACCTTATTTACTTTTCGTTCACCGCATCAGCATTGATGCATGCAGATTAGTGAGTGTTACATGTTGGGGTGTTCAACCTCAGCGTGAACTAGCTGTGGAAAATGGGGTGACGATGATGCAATGGAGGTGATATAGCATACAGATGCATCTATACTAATTGAGTACCTTACAATTGATTCTTTCCTAAGGATTTCTTTGTGTTCTGTGTGGATTGGCTAACTTAATCTTCACCCTGTTAGATATAAATGCTGTTATAAATTGAAAAATACCCAGTCTGCACATGTGCCTTTGTGTCCTGTAAGCTTATGTGTATGTATACTTAGAGCTGTGTCAGTATTTTTCCTTTGCATGTTCATTATTAGTGATTGGTGGGGAGAAGGAGTTTAAAATTGTGTTTGAGAACGAGGGACAGAGAGAAAAGAGAACAGATCCCGTCTGCTGGTTTTGTTCGCAGCCCTCCTGCGATGCCAGGCCAAAGGGCTGCCCTGTCTTGGCTGGTGCTCAGCACAACCACAGCTTGAATGGCCTGCTTTCCCAGTGGCTGCTCAGGCGTGTGAGTGACAGCGTCTCAGGCGTGTGACAGCATCTCAGGCGTGTGACAGCATCTCAGGCGTGTGACAGCATCTCAGGCGTGTGAGTGACAGTGTCTCAGGCGTGTGACAGCATCTCAGGCGTGTGAGTGACAGCATCTCGGGCATGGGAGTGACAGTGTCTCAGGCGTGTGAGTGGCAGTGTCTCAGGTGTGTGAGTGACAGCGTCTCAGGCGTGTGAGTGGCAGTGTCTCAGGTGTGTGAGTGACAGCGTCTCGGGCGTGTGAGTGACAGCGTCTCAGGCATGTGACAGCGTCTCAGGCGTGTGAGTGACAGCGTCTCAGGCGTGTGACAGCGTCTTAGGTGTGTGAGTGACAGCGTCTCAGGTGTGTGAGTGGCAGTGTCTCAGGCGTGTGAGTGACAGCGTCTCAGGCGTGTGACAGCGTCTCAGGTGTGTGAGTGACAGCGTCTCAGGTGTGTGAGTGACAGCGTCTCGGGCGTGTGAGTGACAGCGTCTCAGGCATGCGAGTGACAGTCGTCAGGTCCGACTAGTACAGTGACCTTTACTGTTTGACTGACTTGCTTCTGCCTGAAAATGCTAGTTCAAATCTTTAGTGTATTGAAAAATTTTGTTTTGGTTTTACTAATATGTGAAAATTCTTTACATATAGAAATCTTTTGTTAAGTACATGTTTGTTTACCAGTAGTATTTTTTTAAAATTCTTTTTGCCTGCTTGAGACTAACCTTTTTGTTTTCTTAATACATTTCAAAGAATAAATATTGAGTTTGGACAATGTCTGCTTCATATATATTTTATAAGTCTAGGCTTCCTTGTGCCCTGTTTTGGGAAATCTTTGTCTAATAAAATGTCACAAAGAGTTTTCTTTTCTTCTGTCCTTTCCTATTTCCTGAAATATGTCCTCTCTGCTTCATCCTGATTAAATGTTTCTCCGTCCATTTAAACGTGTCCTTACCCTATTCCGCCATCTTAATTCTCCTCTTTTTTTCTAAAGTTCAGCACTTTTAGCCATTATATTTAGGCTTGTTATCTGTGTCATTAGGGAGTCCTAGGACTCCCCACGGGCTCAGCATATGGTAAACTCTTGGCTGTGATTTGTTAGTGATGAAGGTACGAAGCCGCGTCAGTGCAGGAAGAGGCTGTCATCAGGGATGGGGGCTGGAAGTCAACTGCACGTTTCTCCCTCTTTATCCCAGTAGAATCACGGGAATTTCATTCCTAATGTGGGATTTGTGGTAACATGTACGAGGTGTTGTCTGTCAGGAAGCTCAGTGCCAACTCAGTGCCCAGGGGTTTGTCTGTCATGTTGGCATTATCTGCCTAGCATGTACAAGAATTCAGAATCCTGGGAAGAAAGAAGATATTCAACATGCTGAATATTTGTGTTGTTCAAGCAGGTTTAGACACAGGAGCTACTCTTATCAGTTAGGGAGTGTTGGGAAAATGCAGATTTCAATCCGTTCAAGCCAACTTACAAGCAAGATTTTCTCAAGTAGCAGTTTCTGTCCTGCTGTGGTTAGTTCTCTACCACAGTGGATGTCTAATCAAAGTTTGTGTATGGTGTGAAGTAGGGTTGAAGGTTCATTTTTGCCCCTATACGTAGTTGTTCCGTGGCAGTTGTTGCATGAACAGCTCTCGAGTACGCGGGTGTGGGTCTGTGTCTCTGCCCTTGCTTCCTTGCTCTGGAGGGACAGTCTGGTTGTCTGGAACCTGAACATCTGGCGGTCATGTCGTAGAAGCACCCATGAGCCTCTTTTTTTTTTTCTGCCACCTTGGTTTTAGCTAATAAACGCCTGTTAAGGACTGATTTGAATGCATTGAATTCATGGATTAATTTGGGGAGAATTGCCAGTTTTACTCTCTTAAGCCTCTGGTCCATGTATGTGGTCTTTTATAGGTTTCCTTGCAGTGTTGTTTTGTAGTCTTTGCAAGTTTCACCCATATTGTGAAACTTCCCTTTTGGTAGGTTTTGATCCATATTTTAGATGGAGCATTTTTTCCTGTCATAATGTGTTTGAGAGGCAGCGACAGAGAGTGCCCATCTACCGATTCAGCTTGCAGATGCTCCTGATGGCCAGAGCTGGCCTGGAGCCAGAGCCAGGGCTGGAATGTTAGGTTGGGCTCGCATTACTTGATCCATCTTTGTTGTCGCCTGCACTGGCAGGAAGCTGGCAGTCAGAACCAGATCTGCAGGTGGAGCACAGGCTTTGTAATGTGGGATATTGGTGTCCTGGCCATCAGGTTAAATGCCTGCTCCCCGGAGCTTCTTTTAAATTTAATTTATCAGTTTGTCATTGATAACATATTGAGTTATAATCGACTTTTGTATGGTAATTCTAATTCCTTATTTTTGGTTCTGGCTGCTGTTTTGCAGGTTTCTTAAGCTCTGTAGATTGCTTAAACTTTGCTATGTGAATGACAATATGCGCAAATAGAATTTTCACCTTTTTCTAAATGTCTGTTTTTAAAATCTTTTGTTGTTACTTTGCCCTGAGGACGGCCTGCGGTACAGAGCGTGCTTGGCCATGCCGGTGATGTGGGTCGCAGGACGCCAGGCGTGGAGTGAGGTGCTGGCTGCCAGTGCTGTGTGGCTGCCTCTGGTCACTGGCTGCTGCTTTGCTTGTGGTTTTTTTTTTTTTAATCATGAATGAGTATTTTTAACAAGCCATTTTTGACACTGTCATATACCTTTTCTGTTCTCTCCATGTGATGAGAACTGGAATTTTCATTTGTTAAGCCTTTCTAGTTCTAGTATAAATGTAACCTTTTCAGAAATTACTATCAGCACTTCACTTGCTTACTTTTGTTAAGCATTTCTGCCGTCTGTACTGTTGAAGAGACTTTTTTCCTTGTGATCATTCTGTTTTGTTGTTGGGATATCATACTGACCTTACAAAATGAGTTAGAATGTGGAGGTAGGTCTTTCTCTTCTGTTTATGGAGTG